CCACAGGGGGACTCGGAGAGCAGCAGTGAAGAGTCAGACAGTGAGGAGGAGACGCCTGCCGCTGTGACCCCACTTCTGGTGAGGCTGGAGGACACCTTGGATGGCCCTGCCTAGAAAAGCTTCTTGTTATTCCCCCTCACACCAAGAACCCTGTGGGGTGCCATTTGCCCTCTTCACACCTGTGTCTCCACACTTGTTCCCTCTCAAGTCCCCCTTCTCTGATCCAGTCCTTTGTTAATTGCAGGCAAAACCCTCTGGGAAAAATTCTCAGGTCGGAACTGCCCTGAGCACAAGACCCTCAGGGAGGGTGGGCATCACAGTGCCCCCTGGGAAGGCAGGATCTGGAGCACCCCAGGCCCAGGTGACAAAGCAGGAGGAGACCTCCGAGAGCAGCAGCGAGGACGAGTCAGGCAACGAAGGGAAGGCGCCGACAGCAGTGACCCCGGTTCAGGTGAGGTTCCTACAGCCTACACTCGGCCCCGGCCCTCTTTCCTGCTGCCGTTCTCTTTGAGCCTCTTCTGGTTCTGATTATCCACCCTGCAGCTCCCTTCCCCTCACCCTGTGTCTCTCATTCCAGGCAAAGCCCACAGGGAAAACCTCCCAGGTGAGACCTGCCTCGGGTCCCACCAAAGGTACCTTGGGAAAGGGCACTACCCCAGTGCCTCCTCAGAAGGCAGGACCTATAGCCACAACCCAAGTCAAGGCTGAAAAGCCCACGGAAGACTCAGAGAGCAGTGAGGCGTCATCTGACAGTGAGGCAGAGGCACCAGCAGCCATAACTCCTGCCCAGGTGAGGCTTGCGCTGCCCCATCAAGTCACCTCTGTGGGATACTGTGCTCTCTTTGGTTGGAACTTGGGTTCCAGGCTCATGGGGTGGACAGTGAACTCCATACTCACATAGGTGGAACCTCTGAGTCTAGGAACCTTCTCAAGCCTCTGTCCTCTGTTTCCTTAGGCAAAACTGGCCGTCAAAACACCCCAGATCAAAACCTCCCCAAAGAAAAGCACCCCTATCACCCCTGCATCTGCCAAGATCCCTCCAGTGCAAGTGGGTACCCCAGCCCCATGGAAGGCAGGAGCAGTTACTTCTCCAGCCTGCACAGCATCCCCAGCTGTGGCCATGGTTGCCCAGAAACTGAAGGAGGAGTCTTCAAGCAGCGAGGAGTCAGAGAGTGAAGAGGAGGAAGAGAAGGCGGCTCCTGCAGTAGCGGTGGGACAGGTGAAGCTGTTGCCTAGCTGTCTTCAAAGCTGTTCCCCATAGCCCTTTGAGCTCCTAGGAGACACCTGTCTTCCTCTTATCATTCCAGGCAAAGTCTGTGTGGAGAAATTCCCCTGGGAAATCAGGCCTTGCAGCTGGCCAGCTCAAAATGGAGGTTCACGACTCGGAGAGCAGTGAGGAAGACTCGGACAGTGAGGAGGTGCCTCCAGCACAGGTGAAGCCCAGCTGAGTGAAGCGCGGGGCTGAGGATGGGATGCTCTAAGGATGGGATGCTCTTGAGTCTGCTCTTGCCTCTGCATATATGGGTTTGAAGGGACAGTTTCAGTTCAACCTTATTCCGCACTTGCACTCTCTGCCATCAGCACTCTGGGCCCTCCACAAGCTGTGTGGAATCCCACTGTGCCGGGCTCTGTCCTGGTCTGGGGCTCCTTTGGCCTTTCTCTCAGCTCCCCCAGATGTAGGAGAGTTCCAGCATGGTGTGCTGGACATTGAGCTCATGTGCCTGTCTTGCAAAGTACAGCGAATGCTGTCGTCTAGAGAGTTTTCAGGAGCTTGGAGGAAATGCTATCTGAACTGTGGATTTAAAGCTGTTTAGGTAAAATAGAGGGATAGTATGTTCCAGGCAGACACTGCAGCCTGGGCAAAGGTCAGAGACTGGTTCAGATGAGTTGTCATAAGCAGCATATGATGGTAGATCCCTGAAGAAGATGGTGAGGTGGAAGATTTGTTATCAGACTACCTGGGTTCAAGTCCCAGCTCCGTCCTGACCAATGTCAGGTGATGCAGTGTCCTGGTGCTTTGTTTGAGGGAGCTCTGTTGGCACTGGACATTGATCCTCATGGGATTGGGAGAGAATTTAAGAACATTTCCCACTTACACCAGGACAGGATCTGCATATAGCAAGCTCTGTCACTTTGAGGTGGGTAAAACCAGTGTGTAACAGCATCAAGTCAGATGTCCCAGCCTGAAAGAATACTGAGAAATGGAGATTGTGTCCCCTCTGTACTCAGCCACCCACAGTTTATTATTTTTTAATTGCTGCTGCCCCCCCCCAACCACTTAGAATTAGTCATTTCTTTTTTTTTCTTGGTACCACAACACAACATTTCTGCAAACTTGCTTTTGTTCCCCTCGCTGTTGTCTTCTGTGACCCATGGTCCTCTGATTTCTCTGCTGAGGTTTGTTTTTGTGTTTTGGAGGGATTTTTTTGGTGTGTTTTGTTTTTGGAGGTTTTTTTACCTTCATACAAAAAAAGGATTTTGAGAAACTGATTTCTAATTTATGGCAAGTTTCACTTTCAGAAATAAAACCACATAACAACACAATTTAATTCAATCTTAGAGGCTGGCGTGCTGAGCAAGGAATGTTCTTACTGTTTGTTGGATCTCCCTCTTTACACTGTCAGGTACCAGGGCTCTGCCTTTTGGAGTGATTTCACCCACCAAGTCATCAACAGTACCGTGTCCTGGTCCTTTTTCTGTAATTACCTCCTTACAATGTGCTTTCAGCTGGTCCTTCCAGCCACATTCCGTTAATTTGGCTCTCAGCAGTTCTTTGAAGTGTTCTCTTTGTTCAGTTTCTATCAAGTTTTGGTTAATCGCTGGTCTCATCAGCGCGTCTTTGTTCATCTTGTTAACCACACTCTTGAGCACACAGAATGCTAGAACATACATTTCTGGGACCACTCAGGTTTTACCCCTTCCTCAGAGGCTCCAGGTTCCCCTCCCCGTTCCTGAAGCCACAGACACCTTCCAGACCCAGTCCTGTATTAAGTTACATTTTGCAGAGTGTTTAAATGTTGTCTTTCCCTCTGAGCCTCCTGCCTGTAGTATGAGGTGGTATTCACATGCATTGGAAATTGGGGTTGGGAAAAGGGGAGCGGGCAGTTGTTGGGTGATTTTCTCTAACTCTGTCAGTCAGTGATCGTCAATATTAGGCTAGTAACCAGGACTACTGCTTCAGAACATTTAACCCTTTCTGCATCCTTCTAGTCTTACCTTGGCCCAAACTTCATTCACCTATGGAGATGATAATGCCTTTTGCCCTTATATTCTTTCAGAAAGAAAAGTAGACCTGCTAATCCCCCTGTCAGGGCCTAGCTTTTTATTAGCCAGGTGCCCTGTCAGAAGATGGGGCCTTTCCCAGACTTGAGAAGCTTCTGTGGACCCAGGCTGGACTGAGAAAGCGACTTGTTGACCACCACCTCTTTCTTATTCTCATAGATTAAAAAAGGATAGCCGTGTCTTTGTTTTTGGTCATTATGCGGATTAAATGAGATGGTGCTTCCATAACCTCACCCTCCTCATGCTTGTGTGTGCTGAGTGGGTCCCACACTCTGCCCAACGTTGGCAAGTCAGAACCAAGTCGGGTGGAGCCAATGTTTGTTTGGAAATACCTAACCAGCTCATTGCAAACAGTCAGTTTAGGAATTGAGGTTCAAAACAAGCAAATTGATAAAAAGTAGCGAAGACAGGATTAGTTCAAGCAAAGGAAATGTTCCAGAGAGTCAGGAAAGAGTCTTCAGGATAGAAATTTCATAGGAAGACAGTTTTTGTGGGAGAAGGGCTTAAAAGATGCACAGTACTGGGAGAATGAATGATTGACTCTTTCTTGGAATGCCTTTTGGGCCTGATCTTGTGTGTTGAGTGTATATTCTGTGACTTTGTCGAACTTTGTTTTTATCCCAGCAGCTTTTGTAGATTCCTTAGAAATTTCTGCATCTAGGTCACCTCTGCAAAGAAAAACCTTTTCTTTTTCATCCTGCTTTATTGCTTTGGCTAGAATTTCTGGTACACTGTTGAATAGTAGTAGAGTGACATTCTTTCTGTGTTTCTCCTATTATGAAGCATTCAGTCTTTTGCCATTAAGTATGATGTTAGCTGTAAGCTTTTCATAGATTCCCTTTAGCAGATTAAAGACATTTCCTTTTAGTCCTAGTTTGTTGAGAGTTTTTTACCATTAACAGAAGTTGTTTTGTTAAATGCTTTTTCTTTGTATATTGAGATGATTGTATGAGTTTGGTTTTTTATTGTGTGATTTTTATCCATTATTAATGTGATTAATATGATGGCATTTGATTTTTAGATATAAAAATCATCCTTTTATTCTTAGAATAAACCCCCTTGTTTTGTTACTGGATTTGGTTTGCTAGCTTGTTGCTGTGTTGTTTTTTTAATAAAGGGGTTTGGTTTTTTTAACCTATCTTCCAAAAACCCACTGGAAGCTCAGCTGTGAGTCAGTCTGACTCACAGCAGTGAATTTTTGAGTAAATTTATGAGCAATTTTCTTTATTTTCTGTAATTTTCTTTTGCTGTCTTTGTCTGATTTTGCTGTCTCAGGTATACTAGCCTCACAAAATGACTTGAGAAATATTCCCTCCTCCTCTGATATCTGAAAGAATTTGTGTAGGATTGATAATATTTTTTTTTCTAATGTTTGTTGAAATTCACCAGTAAAATGTGACCCAGGGCCTTTCCTATGTAAAGATTGTGTGAACCCAGATCTTTCTTGTGTTGTTGTTGTATTATGTGTCATTGAGTTGCCTGCGACTCATAGCTGCCCTGTGTACAACAATCCTAAACCCTACTCTATCCCTTGCCAATCTTATTGTCTCCTGCACGCCTATCCCTATTACCCTACTGACTGAATCAGTCCATCTCAATGAGGGTCTTCATCTCCTGTGCTGTCCCACCACTTTCCCAAGCACAATGTCCCTCTCCAAGGACTGTTCCCTCCTTGCAGCATGTCCAAAGTATGTCAGACGGAGCTTCAGAATCCTTGCCTCCAAGGAGCAACCTGGCTTCACCCTCTCCAGGATGAACTTCTTGTTCTAACAGTCTGTGATATATTCAGTTCTCTTCTCCAGCACCACAGCTCAAAGGCATCAACTCTCCTTCTATTATCCCTAGTTATTGTCCAGCTCTCTGATGCATAGCAAGTAATTGCAAAGACCATGGCCTGTATCAGGCGCACCTTAGTCTCCAGACTGACATCATTGCTCTTCAGTACTCTGGAGAAGTCTTTGACAGCAGACTTAGCCAATGCAACTCATCTTTTAATTATAGAGGAAGGTTTTTTTACTTACTGAGTGAATTTCTTTAATTGATAATGTTCTACTTAGGTTTTTATTTCTTCTTGAATCAGTTTTGGAAATGTATGTCATTTTAGGAGATCGTTTTCTCTGAGCTGCCTCATTTATTAGCATATGGCTGTTTATAGTGTGTTGTTGTTGTGTTCCATGCCATCAAGTCACTAGCTCCTAGCAACCCTCTGAACAACAGCTCTGACCCTTGCCTTGTCCTCTGCCATCTTCATGGTCTCTGTTATGTGTTACGCTCGATGCTCAGTTGTGTTGTGGTGATCACTCTTCAGTCCATCTCGAGTCATCTTCTCTTTCACTGACCCTCTGCCTTTCCCAGCATAGTATCTCTCCAAGGACTGGTTCTTCCTGAAAATATGTCTAAAGTAAGTGAGATGAAGTTTCACCGTCTTTGCTTCTAAAGGAGCATTCTGGTAGTACTCTCTTCAAGACAGTGTTGCCTTGTTTGGGGGGGCAGTCCATGGTATATGGTATATTCAGTACTCTTTACCACTACATTTCATTGGCATCACTTCTGCTGTCTGTGTTATTCATTGTCCCACTTTCAGATGCATAGAAAGCTATTGCACATACCATGGCTTGGACCAGGCACACCTTAGTGTTCAAACTGACGTCTGTGCTCTTTAGAACTTGGAGAGGTCCTTGATACCAGATTTTCCTAATACAACACATCTTTTGATTTCTTGGCTACTACTGCTGCTGTGGGTGTTGATTGTGGATCCAAGTAAAATCATTAACAACTTCAATCTTTTCTCTGTATATCATGATGTTGCCTGTTGGTCCAGTGTTAAGGACTTTTGTTTTTCTTGATGTTGAGATGTAATCCATATTGAAGGTTGTAGTCTGATGTGCACACAGTATGTGAAGTCCTCTTCATTTAATGCAAGGAAGGTTTTTCCATCTGCATGACACAAGTTGTTTATGAGTCTTCCTCTAAATCTGATGCCACATTCTTACTCATATAGTCCAGATTCTCAAATGATTTGTGTTATTCATGATTTTTATAATCCACACAATCTATGCAAATGCCTTTGTATAGTCAGTAAAACACAAGTAAATATCTTTCTAATATTTGCTTCCATCCAGGGTCCACTTGATATGAGCACTTATAACCCTTGTGCCATGGCTGCTTCTTAATCCAGCTTGAATTCCTGGCTGTTCTCTGTCAGTGTACTGTTTCAGCCATTTTTAATAATCAACAGCAGAATTTTCATGTGATATTAATCTACAGCTTTCATGTGATATTAATGATGTTATTTGATAATTTCCACATTTTATTGGGTCACCTTTCTTGAGAATGGGCATAAATATGAATCTCTTACGGTCAGTTGACCATTTGTCTTATCAGTTTGCTATATATACTGTGTGTGATGATTTACGTGATGCTGGAAGCTGTGGCACTAGAATTTCAGATACCAGCAAGGTCATCCATGGAGGACAGGTCTCAACAGAGCTTTCAGACTTGGAAGCAGGGCTGTCATCCAATTCTGAAGTAACAGGCCTTTGAATAATCCTATGGACAGTGGAAGAATATTTCCTTACTATCATTTTTCTAACATCTATGATGATGCCGCTCTTTCTTTCCTGACTCTTGGTAATTTGTCTTCTCTCTTTCAGTCTATGGATTAACACTTTCTAGTATAAGTATTTTTAAAGTTGTAAATTTCCTTCTAGGGACTGCATTAGCTTTATCCCAAGAACTTGGAAATGTTACATTTTCATTTTCATTCCTCAACTCACTGATCATTTATAAGGAGTTGTTTAATTTCCACATATTTGAGGAGGTCTCAAGTTTTCTTACGTTGTTGTTGAATACAAACTATAGTTCATAGTGACTCCATGTGTGTCAGAGTAGAACTGTGCTCTACTATGATGACATTATACCTCTCTGGACTCAAACAACTAACCTTTAAGTAGGAGCTAAGCTCTTATCATTTGCATCATGCAGGAACTCTTCAGTAATCTTCTAAACCATTGTTATTCCCATTTCACAGAGGAGTAGGCTGAGGCCAGTGAGGTCAAGTGTCTTGCATAGACTCATACCATTATTAAATGGACATCTGAAATCCAAAGCGAGACATTCTGACTCCAGAATTAATGTTCTCAGCTAATTGCCACGCATCTTTTTGCTTCCAGGTGAAGACCTCAGTGAAAACTCCTCAAACCAAAGCTTCTCCCAGCGCGTCTTCAGTCAAAGCGGCAGTGTCAACTCCTGCAAAGGTAGTCACGGCCACCATTCCAACCAAGCTGGCCTCCCCAGCCAAGGCAAGTAGAGTCAAAGCCTGGGGGATTGGTGGGGGGCAGAGAAGAAGGCAATCAAACAGTCAACCCAGTTTGGACAAGGTGAATAGACTCCCCACAGTCGTGCCATGATGGGAACTGAACCTCGAAAGACTATGTTGTTCACTGTCTTCTCCAACATTGAACATTGGTGTCTCCTCAAAATTCAGGTCAAGCCACCAATGAGATATCTCCAAAGCAGCACTGTCTCAGTGCAGGGCCTGCTGTCTATGCCAACAGGGGGGCAGTGCCTATAACAGACCAGGCCAAGCAAGCAGGGACAGTAGGTGTCCTCAGAGGGAGGACTCGGGCAGCTGTGAGGAGGAAGTCCCAGCCCAGGAGAGAGGCAGCGGGAATCGCTGTACTTCCGTGTCTGTGCCCGACGCCCTAGCTGTGTCTCAGACCAAGCTCCTGCCCGCGGTTTACACACTTTTGTCCCTTCAGTCTTCTGTGTGTCTGCTCACATCCATCATCTTTAGTCCCTCCTGATTCTGATTCTGACCCTCTCCCTCCAGGTGAAGGCCTCAGGGAAAACTCCTGAGACCAAGACTACATCAGCGTCTACCAAGGGATCCTCTGTTAAAGGGGCCACGCCAGCACCCCCTGGAAAAGCGGGGCTTGTAACTGCCCAGAAAGGAAAACCAAAGGAGGACTCGGAGAGCAGCAGTGAGGAGTCGGACAGTGACGAGGAGGCACCGGCCCAGGTGAGACTTCATGCGGAGGCACTTGCCAGGTCCTAGCCACCTGCTCTTCCGTGCTCAGAACTTAAGTTCAGGGGCAGGTATGGGAAGGAAGAACACACATTAAATCTTTGACTGTGAGATCTCGCCCCTCAGCTGCTGTCCTCCATGTATGCTTAGCTGAAACCTCTTGTGAAAACCCCAAATCATGACCTCCCAAATTAAAGGTGCCAAGGACATTCCCATGTCTACCGAGGCCTCCACAGCAGGAACAGACACACTTAGCCCCAAAAAGCTAAGCCAGCAACTCCTACCAACATAAACCAGGCCAAGAATACAACGATGTCACAGTCAGAGGGTGAAAAGGAGGCTCAATCTGTGATACATGAGACCCTGGGAGTCTCTCAGCTGGCCAGATGCATCTCCCTAGAGAGCTCATCTGGCTAAGTGAAGACAGGATTCTAGGGAAGGGTAATGAATGAGTTCCATGTTTGATCAGGACCCTTTTTCCTCTGTTGGCAGAGGGCAGCATGGTGGCTGTGTTATGCAGAAGTCTGGAGACTTACAAACTCTAGGGACTGTAAGGCTCGAGCCTACTAGAAGAATGATTGACCCAAGCCAAACAGAGGTGATAGATGGCAGTTGACATTCTGCCTTTGTATCTGGAGAGATAGTGGAGAGTATTGGCAACTGGGACAAGCCAGATAGCTCTTGTCACGTGTAGAGAGACACTCCTGGCAGCTCCAGCCTACCATTTCCTCATGGAAATGTACCTCGTTATAGCCCGCCTTCCATTTCTCAAGAGAAAGGGAGCCCAGAGCCAGGGCACACTCCATCCTCTCAGAATTCTGTTTTAACAATAATAAACAAGCACTAAGAATTCTGAGCCCAAGCTGCTCTTGGCACTGACATTTGGCATTGGCTCAAGCCAGCTATTGTAAAGCATTGTTATGCTGATTAAGACTGAAGGGTCAAGAACATCAGCACCAGTCAAGGAGATTCTAGTCTACGTAGTAGAGGCTGGAGAGACAGCTGACTGGATTTCTGAGAAAGTTTTCGTACTATTCTGGTAGCTCAAGGAAAACAGGTCTCAGAGGGACCAGAGGAGGGGATGATAGCACTGAGCTTGAAGAAGGCTAGGTGTTCAGCTGATTTAAACGTGGAGAAAGATCCTCCCAGTGTGAAGCCATTTGTGATGCAGAAGTGACATGAAACAGGGAGGGCTCAGAGAAAACCAGCCTCGCACAAACAGCAGTTGTTTCTAGGTAGGTATGACATTTGTAGGGGGCTTGACTGACAGACTCAGGAGTCCCCGGCTGCGCTTTGTTTTAATTTGGATATTGTTGCTGTGTACTGTTGAGGCAGAACTGACCCATAGCTGAAACTCCAGCAGGTTTCCAGAGGAAGTAAATTGCATGGAAAGAGATTGCCCTTCTTTCTCCCACAGAGCAGCTGGTGGATTCAAACTACTTATCTTTTTGTTGGCAGTACAGTTCCTTACCACTAAGCCACCAGAGCTCCCTTGAACACTAGTTTTTGGGTTAAGTTTTAAATTGCATTATTGTATCAGCCAGGATGTCCTTCTTTTACAAGAGAACTCGATTGTAAAGAGCTTGAAGAGTAGAGAAACTGGCTGTTATCTCATAGGGCAGCAAGTCTCAGCCGGGTGGTTCGTTCACTAAGTCAGTATCATTGGTGACCCAGACTTCTTCCACCTTCATATTTTACTAGACTCACTCTTAAAGGAGGGCTTCGCTGACTCCCAAACAGCTGGGAAATGCTCCCAGGCCAGCCTCACTTTAGATCTCTGAGGCCAGACTTAGGCCCTATGCTCCCCGTGCAAAGCCAGTCAGTGAGAAATGCTTGTGATTGGCTGGGAAATTCCCCAAAGCATGGATTGTTAGTGGCACATTGATTTATTTGTTCGACTGCTAACTGCTGGAAGGTTGACCAATCAAATCCTCCAGGTGCTCCTCTGGGGGATAGGTAGCTCTGGTGACTTAGTAGTCAGGAGTTGCGCTGCCAACCCTAAAGCACGTGGTTTGAATCCACCAGTTGCTCCACGGGAGAAAGATGGACCATCTCCTCTCATGCAATTAACTGACTCTGAAAACCTGCTGGAGGGGGCTCAGACTCAATGGTCCACAACAGTGACATCCTTTTATAAAAGATTTACGGCCTAAAAAGAAAAGATTTTCACCCTCAAAAACTTTATAGAAGGTCACCAAGAGTCATAAGCAGCTCCACAGCCATTGGTTTGGTTTGGTTTGGTTCTCTCCAAAGCAATTAGTAGATGGTTGTTAGCAAGGAAGGCATGCAGATTTTACTTACTATTAGGGGGGCAGCCAGTTAACAATGTGAACCGTAATTCCCACCAGGAAATGACACAACATTACAGTTCAGTCTTTTGTCTTGTCTTGAGTAGTGGGATGGGAGCTCTGGTGGCCTAGTGGCAAGAAGCTGCTCTGAATCCCCAGGGCACACGGCTCGAATCCTCCAGTTGCTCCACTGGAGAAGGATAGACAGTTTCCTCCCATTCAGTTAACTGCCTTTGTAAACCTGATGGACGGTTCAGTTAACTGCCTCTGAAAACCCAGCTATGGATCCATTCCAACGTGGCAGTACACAGAACGGTCGTAATGAGTATTAGGAAGCTCGATTAACCTGGCTTCTGCTTTTCTGAGTGTGTTGAAAGGTGCAAATAGAAAGGTACAGAACTGCCCTCTCCCCTCCTGGGCCACCCCCTCACTATAAGTCCTCTTCCCTGACCCTGACTGTAGTGCCCACCAGTCAACACCAACTCAGGGCGCCCCCATGTGAGTCAGAGTAGAACTGCTCCATCGGGTTTTCAATGGCTGGTTTTTTGCGAGGAGATCTCCATTCCTTTCTTCTGAGGTGCCTCTTGGTGAATTCAAACCTTCAATCATTTTCTCAGCAGCTGAGTTTGTACAACTAGGGAATTCGTCTCACGAAGCCAGCTCCCTCATTTATCCTCAGCCTGGCAGGAAGGGGTGGCCACCATTGGGGTGCTGTTAGCCAGAAATGTTGCAGCCTTGTCCCAGGTTGCTGTCCCCTCCCTCAGATCCCTAACCATCACATTCTGGTCACATCTGAGTCTGACATCCCTTTCAAGTTCAGAATCAGCTCTGGGGAGTGCGTAATGGGGCCTGTGTTTCCAGTGGGTGCCCCTGGGGTATGTGCAGGAAGGACAGTCAGAGCCCTTGAGGGGCATCACTCACTGGTTATGGTTCCTTCCCCCTTCTCCCTCCGGCTCCTTCAGTTGTGCCCCCTTCAGGTAACACATACACCCACAATGTGCTTGTCAGGTCTTGTCGCCTCGGAAAGACAGTAACGGCAAACCCGCCAAAAGCAAGACCCAGGCCCTAGCACCCCCGAAGAAGAGCACAGAGGAGTCATCAGAGAGCAGTGAGGACGAACTGCCATCTGGCCAGGTAAGCCTGGGCCACTGGGCCTCGTGGAAAATCTCTCCTCCATACATTTAAATAGCACTTCACAGTTTGCAGGGCTCTTTCCCTTATATGTGTCTTTCCTCCTTACATTTACCCTCAAACGTAGGGAGCAAGATGTAGCTGGACATACAAGCTTCATAATTAGACCAGGCAAGGATTAATCCCAGCTCTACCACCCCAGCTTCCTTACCTGAGGTCAGGTGTTTCTGCTGTAAACCAGGACGTGCAATGTTTTTCTTAGAATGTCTGGCCCATGACATGGTGTCTGTTATTAACAGGACTTCAGGCAGTCTTGCCTCATTTGGTAGGAATTAATACCCTAAGAGTTGAAGTGGATTTTCCCAAGTTTTCTAGACCCATAAGAGACAAAGTGAGCTCAAGCCCTGGGCCTGGCTCCTTGTGTATCCCTGTTTTCTATTTGAATTGGGTGCCTTCTCTGCAGAGGGTATCAGGACACACTTCACCCAAGACCCTTCCTCAAGATTCTTCCTTCCATTGTTCTGCTGTCCAGAGGTCCCTGTTGACATGGCTGATGTGGCCCAGGCTTCTCATGAATCCCAGGCTATGCCAGGAGGCAGCACTGCCCTTTGTCCGCCTCTAGCTCCTTGAGTCTCCTGCTAGGTTCCTCAGAGTGCTTGTTTCCTCACTAATCAGGGATGCTGCGATCCTGCCACACTGCAGACTGGTGGAGCCCTGCATAGAACATGCCGTTGTCCCATTCCCCAGGGACAGGCAGCTCCTCTGTAGACCTCTCGGTGAAGGGATGCTGTTTGCCTTTTTTCTCTTCTCAGTGAAATGTTGTTGTACGGTTGAATTGATCCCACTTCAGGCCTGATGCTATAACACTACCATATCTCCCATGGCGTTAGTGACACGTAGGTCCAAACTACTAACCCTTTGGTTAGCCGTTGAGCACTTAAGTATTACATCACTAAAACCAAAAAACTCCTCAAGTCAGTTCTGACTCTAGTGACTTTTTCTTGATTGCCAATAGTTCCCTTGGCTGTGATCTTTATGGTAAAAGACCTCCAGGTCTTATCTCTTGTGTAAAATAAGAGTAGGCAGCATGAGGATGGCCGAGTCTGACCTCTGCTAACTCCACAAAGGGGAACTATCCCCATCAATGACATCCACACTATAAAACTAATTCCTGTAGTGTCAGATATGGTCCCTCTTGGTCCTGCACCTACTTCTACTAATTCAAACACCAATTGTAATGCTCTGCTGGTCTGAAATTCATTGCAGTGACCACACAGACTTTATGGAACCATACTCAGGCTTGTGGAATTTATTAAGGACATTAATAGGCTTTAATTCAGGTGTGGCTGTTATGTGCTATCAAGTTGCTTGCGACTCATAACGACCCTGTGTAAAACAACCCTAAACTCTGGCCTATCCTGTGCCAATCTCACTGTCTCCGACACACCTACCCCCATTACCTCAGTCACTGAATCAATCCATCTCATTGAGGGTCTTCCTCTCCTGCACTGTCCCTCCTCCCTCCCAAGCATGATGTCTCTCTCCAAGGACTGATCCCGCCTTGCAATATGTCCAAAGTATGTCACACAGAGC